GCAGGTGGTTCAGAAAGGCCCTCAAGGGCGGCCTGTCGGGAGAGCCACTCTCGCATGAAGCGGCGGCGGCGGGCGCGGACTCGGGCTCTGGCCACGAGAAGCCCGCGAAGTCTCCCCGCGGCCCTGCCCTCGAGCTCGGAACGAACTAAACGCCGACCAGAGGAAATCGGCAACCATCGGCAAACTGCGCAGCTTCCGAGCGCTCACCAGGGGGGGAGCTCGTGCAAGAACATCCTCTGGAAGGGGGGGGGCAGAGCGGGGAGCGCGGCAGATGGCACGGACAGGACAGGGGGACAGAGGGCGGAGGGGGAGGACGAGGGACACGATGAAGAGGGGGGGAAGAAGATGAAGAGGCGGAGGAGGACGGAACGGAGTAGGATGTGGAGGTGGAGGAGGGGGCGCGGGAAGAGGCGGGGGAGAAAGATGGAGGGGGTGATAGGGGATGAGGAGCCCGAGAGGAAGGAGTGGCGGATGAGGGGGGCAGGGTTTACCAAGCTTGCTATAAATGAAACGGGTACTACAACCCAACTGTAAAGAGGCGTTCATCGGAGGAATTCTTGAGACAAAGGGCAACTGTCGAGTTGCAAAAGAAACGCAGAAGGTGGCAGAGTTCCTGGACTCCTGGAATTATGGCTCGGATACAGCGTAACTACTAACATGCATATGATTGGCGGCCCACTCACCACGCAGCTTCTGGTCCCGTCAGGGTTACACCGCTCAGACAAGCCTCTCGTTGCTGGGAGCCTGCGCTGCCGCCGCACGGACGCCAGGGTGGAGGAAGAAAGGGCAGGATCAGTCAGCACCGATTCGAAAAGTCGGATCGGATCGGAACCTGCGCCGAACCCGGCCGCATCGGCACGCGTCGGGACCGACTCGCACCGGCCACGCAAGGATCCACGGCGGCGCCGTGAAAGCGCCGCGCCGCATCGGAGCGCTGGAACGGGAACCCCTCACCAGTCCTGAGGAATCCTCAGAAATCCCTCGGGACCCACTCAGAAATTCACAGGGATCCCAAGGAGCCCTCAGGAATTCACGGGAATTCCAAAAAAATGAATCCGCCGGAACTGGGAGAAATCCTTCGTGATCCCCCCAAGGATCCCTCAGGAATCCCTCAGCGGAATCGAATCGGATCGAGCCGGATGAATTTCGACATCTAATCCCAGGTCGGGCATATCCTCCTACAGGCGGATTGCGGAAGAACAGGATAAGTAGCCAAGCAGTACTCAAAAATAGTCACGGTAGTCGAAACATCGTCGCCTGACTGTTTTTGGTCAATGTCTGAAGATTCCTACTGTAGCAGGACACGCCCCACTTATGTCTGATCGCATCGATCAGATCGAGATGGGCCCCGGACAAGGACAAGGACAAGCGCTCCGAAGAACCTCCACGGATCGGCTGAAATACCTCGATCTACTCTAGGTTCGGAGGAAAATCCCGAAGGGGACGGAAAGCGGGGCGAGGTGGACCTTCGGAGCATCGCCGAAAGCTACTCCAGATTTCATAATAAAAGGGAGGGGGTCTGGACCCTCCGAGACAAGCCATTTCAGACCTCCCCCGTGGGAGAACCCTCCAAAACATCGTCCCCAGACCCCCCAGACCCTCCAAGATGGCCTGGAAGAGACCCCCCCCCCGAAATGAGACCCCCCCTCCCTTGATTAGGAAATCTGGAGTGGCGTCCCGCCCCGACGACCGCCAGGGGCACGATGGGCCCCGGAGGGCGGAGGGCGTGAGGCGAGGCGGGGCGGACAGGGCAAGCGGGGTGCAGCGGGCGCCCCAGAGGCCCGCCGGCCGAAGGTTTTCCATGCGCGGCCCCAGGGGGCCCTCCTCCTCCTCCTCCTCCTCCGCCCTCCCTCCTCCTCCTCCTCCTCCCTCCTCCTCCGCCTCCTCCTCCTCTCCTCCTCCTCCTCCTCCTCCTCCTCCATCCTCCTCCGCTCCTCTGGCTCCTGCTCCTCCTCCTCCTCCTCCTCCTCTTTCTCCTCCTTCCCTGCCCTGACCTTGGATCCGCAGAATTTGGCGGATTCGATGACTTCCAAAGGCGTCGGACATGCACCCCAAACGATGCGACGAAATAGTGCGGAAAATTCCGCCTTGGATCTTTCCGTAACCAAAGATGACGGAAACAGCGACGTCAAAGTAAGGCGGGAATCGGCACCAAAGGAGCCTTAAGTAGTGCAGCAATTCCCGCCCTACCTGCGACATCGCCCAAAAGTGTGGCGGATCCGGAGTTCGAGTGCGGGTAGTTTTTCGCCACGGATCCTTCTTGATTGTCCTGGGCCCAGATAACGACCTTTGCAGGAGAGCCCAGAACCGAATCGGTAAATCAGATCGGCGATCGAGATGAATCGGATCGGCCGAAGTCGGCAGCCGAGTCGGGAGAAGTCGCATCGGCGAAAATCGGTAGGCTGGCGGGGCATTTTTTGAGAAATCGGAGTCCTAATCGGAATCCCAAACCGAATCGAATCGGAATCTGGGGAGACAAAAAAGGTACCGATACCGCTACTCCCCCGACCTCTCCCTCGGTGCGTTCTGACCAGGATTTCGAGGCGAATCCAGCGGTGGGAACGAGGGCCTCCGAGGAGGCCCAAAAAGGGGAAAACGGGCGAGGGGGTAGAGGTTTGGATACCTTGTTCCTCCTCCGAGAACCGGAAGCTCGAATCGACTCGGAAGAGTCGAAACGAGCCCTGCCTCGGAGGCCGGCATCGAAGAAGCTTGCCTGGCAAGCGGCGAAGGCGGACGCCAGCACGACCGATCCGCCGGCGGGCCGCGACAGGCGAGGGCAC